CTTCAGAGCAGCAGCTTTCTCAATCAATGCTGCTTTCTCTGCCATGACCAATTTACAAGCGGATGAAGTGATCCGGACGCACGGCTGCTTTTGCGCGACCGTTTGGATACATTTGACGCACTATCTTCAGGTTTAACGCAGTCAAAATGTTCATCATCTTTCACCCCAACCTTCGCGTCGGGCTCATCATTTAACCAACTGCACACTTCATTCACGAACGCTTAATTTGCAACACTTTTATCTTTAAACCATGCATTTTGTCTCTGTTGTTCATCTTCAGGTAAAGAAAACTCCTTTAATAAAGTGTCATGAAGTGAAGATGCATTTTTACATAATGCACTAAACCCTTTAAGATGTTTGATGGCAATAAAATTGGCAGATGATGACCAAAGGTCTTTTATGTTTGCCTTTATTTTATTGGCTTGTTTAAATAGATAAGACCTCTCCTTTTGCAGTTTTTCGATCTCAAAAGCCAAACCTTTAACAGAAAACTTCATTTGTCTTTTTCATTGTCTCTAGAATTGGTTTCATCATTATCCAAATCCATTTCATCCATAAAACACCATTCAGCAAACACGGATGATTGTGGCGCTCTTCCTCGCGCTATTTTACGCACTGCTGCGCTTTAATTTGCCACAAAGCACGAGTATTGACACGGTCACGTTTGTGTTTTCCAGACATCAGCACATGAATGAACAGTTTAATGAGTGGAAGCCATCAATATCCCTAGCAGTTCTTATGCAGGCATTCAGCTCATGTCAGGCCGCAGCGCATCAAAACTCCACTCCAGCGTCTTTAACCCAAAAGAATGACTGCACTCACCGGAGATGTCTTGAATGTTTTGCTTGTGCCTCAAACCTTTTAGATGGCTTTGATGTGGAGTCACAACAAAAGATCGATGTGTGCTGCGTCTCAGTCCAACCAGGTAAACTGTGCCGCGGGCGTGGCACCTGCCAAACTTTTCCTGATGAGCTCCAGCTGATGCGACTTCCTCCGATTCCAGACAGGTCCGGGTTTTTACTTGTAGTGACTATCAAGTCCCACTTTTAGTCACCCTCGGGTGCGGGTGGAGGCAATGACTCGCTTCAACAATATTGTCCAGGCAGAAAGCGGGTTTGGGTTCATTGTCCCATTTATTGAATATGTTGACGATCACAAGCTGGGTCCATAATGGCTATTTCTTGTCCAGGTTTACGTAAATGATGAAAGTTATAACGGCAAATTAGACGTGGCATATGAAACCAAACGAAGCGGTAAAAACCGTGTGACCTCCCGTCACCCCCAAAACGCCAGTGCACTGCAGCCTCAACACCTGTATAGGCTCCGCAGTGCCACCAGTGGTCAAAGGAAATACAAACCATAGTGCAATAAACTGAAATGTACATAAAACATTATCAAAATAAACTTAGACCATAATATAATCTAAACCAAAACAATAATGGCTCCTACAGAGGGGTTAGACTGTATGTCTTCATTTCTCTACTCAGACTGTATCTACGATATTTACAGTACTGTACTGTATCGCATTACTGTATCACATGTACTAGGGATGAGTGAGTACACCACTATCTGTATCTGTTCAACCATTTAAATTACCTGTATCTGTACTCAGAGTGGGCGTGGTCTAACCCGGAAATGGGTGTGGTTTACATCAATACATTATTTTAAGTCTGAAATTGATATGGATTGATCAGAAGTTGCTATGTGTATTGTTTATTTGAAAACTATTTACAGAGCAGCCTCAGAATAGAGATTAAATATTTTTGATCCCATTAGTAAAGGAACTATTACAGAACAAGTTTTTAAATAAAATCAGAACATTAATATTTAAGCGTCTGAATTAATACATCTGTAATGTCCAGAAAAGGTCAGCTTTCACCTACATATTGACCTACACAATGTCCGGTCATCTACAGACCTAATTTCACTATCTGAGTGGAGTTTCTATCCTGTGTCATGCCCCTGGGAAGGTGTTTAACCCACGACATGAAGAGTCATCACAAAACAAGGGTAGAAAGTTCAAACAATGATTTATTAAACCTAACTAAAAGTGTCCTGAGATATCCAAGTTCAATGAAGCCAGAAAGAGTCCAGAAGTCAGTAGGGAGGGCAGATGGTGTGACGGGGTGCGTCCAGGAGAGGGAGCCAGACGATGGCAACAGAGGATAGGAGGAACAGGAGGAGAGGCGAACCCGTGACAGTTGTTGTCCAGGCGGGTTATGGTGAGTTCCAGGTAGGTATATTCCATCAATGGTTCAGCGTTTCCAAGTATCCTGAAGAGGAATACAAACTTGAGTCCAAAATGGTCCAAACACAAAAATCCAAGAAAAAATCCAAATACTGCGACAGCAAAAATGTCTGAGCAGAGACCAAGCATAACCGAAGACTTTGAGTGGCAAGATACTACCATGAGTAGCTAATCATCCAGCGATGTGAAGTAGTTCCCTCTCCTCTTAAATAGAGCTCTGCTGCGGTTGATCTGAGGAGCTGCAGCTGCCGCTGATTGGTAATGCCCCGCAGCTGGTGAGTGCCCTCTCCTGGAATGAAGATCTCACAAAGATGTTGTAGAGAAGGAGGAGTACTCACCCGACACACAGCATCCTGTCTTCTAAAGCAGGAGATTCTGCAGTCCTTGTTGAATTTCAGGGGGAACAAGATGTCTGCCTATGTTCCCAAACAGAGCCTTCTTTTGATAAGACTGCAGGATTGCACACTCTCAAGAAAGAAGAACTTTTACAACTCATAAGTTAAATAATTACATACTGTATTGCAAGTTGGCTAGTGATCCTTTTGAAACAAAAATGGTAGTTTTGTGAAACATACAGTACACAGTACTGTACCATTGAGATGTCACATTACTGTGTACGGTATACAGTACTGTAAAAAAGAACTAAACCAAATGTAATTTATGGTTGCCTTTTCCTACTAAATGACCAGAAGACCTTCTCGAGGTGGTGGCAACGCCTGTTCACCCAACAGCAGGAACTTGCCATTGTGGAAATAGTCCGTGCAAACAATGCTATTCGTCTCCACCAGCTACGGCGACAAATGCTTGCAGACAGGAACGTATTCATAAACATCAATCGAGTGAGCATGTGATGGACCAAGCAGTCAAGGACAGTCAGGCACAGGCTTAAAGTTGGGCAAAAACAGGTTTTTTTATTTAACCCAAAAAATAACATTGAATAGATTACACAAAAATGTTCGCTGGCCATATAAGAGGTCAACGTAACAGAACTCTACTCAAACAGCAAAACAGGACTTAAGCCTGATTCATGCTTCTGCGTCTGCGTCACTGCGGAGACACGCAACGCCATTATCCGTCCTTGCGGGCCTGCTGGAGAGCCCCGCAAGGATGTATGGAGTCAAGCTCTCTTTTCTAAACATCCGTCCGTCGAGACGGAGAACGCAAGCTTGTGATTGGTCAGGATGCCGCTGTCGTCTACACCTCCACCATTGCGCCCTCAAAAACATAAAGAGAGCAGAGAATAACTAGCGGCAGACACGGAGAAGCTTGAAGAACACCTTGCGAAAAAACTCAAAAAATATGAACGTTTAGTTCCCCCGTGACTGGAGGAGTGAAAAGATGCACAGCAGACATTTTATTTGTGGACGGAAATCCTGGTAGCGCCTCCATGCTAGACACAGCAAACCTTCTTGCCACTGCTCGCATGTGCCATCCTGGATGAGCTGCACTGCCTGACACTTGTGTGGGTTGTAGACTCCGTCTCGTGCTACCACTAGAGTTAAAGCAATGCCAACATTCATGAGTGACCAAAACATCAGCCAGAAAGCAGAGGAACTGAGAAGTGCTCTGTGGTCGCCACCTGTAGAACCACTCCTTTATTGGGATGGCTTGGTAACTGCTAATAATTTCCACCTGCTGTCAGTCAGTTTTGCTTCGTAAGTGGACAGTTTGATATCACAGAAATGTGACTGACTTGGAGTTACATAGTGTGGTGTTTGGAGCAGTGTAGTATTAGCCTGGCAAGCCAGACTAAGTAAATGTGTTTGCAAACTTTGCAAGGCAAGAAATTGGTCTAGTTCACTATAGTGTAGGATGGCTTTCCTGGCTATTAGGATGTCAGTTAACCCCGGGTTTCCACGGGAGCCGTCAGCAGCACGTTACTGCAGCAGCACGTCTTGCTCGCGTAAGCTGCTGCTTGGCCCTTCCCACGAGACGCGAAGCAGCAGGGGGGCAGCTGTCACCGACCGAGCACGAAGTCCCACGAGTGACTTCGTCAGTAAACACAACAACAAGCAGGAGAAAACTACAACATGGTTTGTGTTTTATGTTCTGTCCGTTTTATAATCGCCAATACGGACCTGAAAAACAAAGGAGACCGCTAGCTAGGTGATAACTTCTCACGGGGACGCACAGTTAGTAACTTTTTTTAAAAGTAAAGCAACCGGAAGGCAGTACGTTCTTTATTCTGAAAATCTCGGGAGCTTCCCTCCGTTTCAGCGTCCAATTTCCTGTCTTTCCTTCCCCAAACATGTCTAAATTGACCCGTTTCAGAGGCGTCGCGCGTAGGAAATAGAACCGGCGCGTAAAGGCCGCGCCATGCTGCTCCTGAGACGCGGCCGACTCGCGCTGCTGACGGCTCCGGTGGAAAAGGTTCTGTTGACCACAGCGGTTCCTATCAGCAGCTATGACGTGCTGCTGCAGTAACGTGCTGCTGACGGCTCCCGTGGAAAGCCGGGGTAAGGCTCACCATTAGGCTGCTAGCAATGATTTTTAAGATCCAGCAGCTCTCAGACCAACACAGTGACAATCCATTTTGGGTAACGTGCTGCAACGCTTCATCTACTCATCACTACTATTTAAACATCAAATCATACCGGCCCTGGACATGTTTACATACCAGCTGTATGTTGCCACTCATATTAAACACACACAATTAATTTTTGGCATCAATGACGAAATGATCAGATTTTATTTTATCTCACAGTATAAAAGTGTTTGTTTAGACTTCACTTATGTGCAATAAAACAAATAATTCATATTTTACAACATTTTTTTATTCTTTAATACTGCATACAGGTAGTTACACAGCATACATGATAATGATAAATTACCCACACTTGTATAGCACGTTTCAGAGTCAGAGGACTCCAAAACGTTTTACACTACAGTGCATCATTCATCCATTCACACATTGATGGTGGTGAGCTACATCGTAGCCACAGCTGCCTTGGGGCACACTGACAGAGGTGAGGCTAACGAGCACTGGTGCCACCGGTCCCTCCAACCACCACCAGCAGGTGAGGTGGGTTAAGCGTCTTGCCCAAGGACACAACAGCAGCGTTCCCTGCTGGGAGCCGGGATCTGCTGAACCTACAACTGGACAAGCTGCTTGACCTGAGCTACAGCTGCCCCGTGTAGTTCCTCTGCATACATGCTGTTACACTGCACAGTCAGCTGTGTTTTCCTAAGCTCTTTGTGATGCAGTTGTACATTTTTTGCTCCGGTTATCCAGCAGCAGAAATCTCATCCTCTCATCTGCTTTCAAACTGTTTCCTGTAGCGCCCATGAGCTGCAGCACTGATGATTACCTTCACCACAGCTGTACCTTCATCAGCATTCACCTGGATGTCCTGAACGGTGGCCTCTCTGTACAGCCAGCTGTGCATAAGAACACATTTAATTCACATGGTTTCATTTCACTTAACAGCAAGTAAAAATGAACGCACCATCAGAACTTTACCTTAGCTGAGGTGTGCTGAGGTTAACCTTCAGATGTAAAATCTGATTCCCTGTTGACTTGATGATTTCTTCTTCCACTGTTGTCTTCAGCTTGTCCAGGCCACGCTGCTCCAGAGCTGATATGAGCACTGCTCCAGGCTCCGCAGACTGATAACTGAGACACACACAACAACTCATTCATCAAAAGCATGTCTCTCTGTGTGTTTCTGTTTGAAATTTTTAATGAAACTCAAAGAGTTCATTAGGTATTAATTTAAACTCATGAACTCGTATTCAGCCACATTCCAGCTGGCTGCACCACTCATCAGCATTAGCAAATAGAAAAACGACTACAATTCAGTTCTTTTTCCAGTGAAAGGTGTGAGGCTGTCAGTCATGGCAGTGGTGTTTTAGGGCCATTCAGATAAAAATAAAAGAAGTTAAAGGGATTAAAGTTGAAATGCTCTGAAAAATGTTGAAATTCTACTTCCAGAAAAAGAAATTCTTAAAAAGGCTGTTTCAGTACTAGACCAGAACCTTACTGTGCATCAGAACTCTTTATGTACCCGATGGTTCTGGACGAGTTTTCACGGAGTCAAAAATAAACTAACTAAATTACAGGATTTTCTTCTATTTCCACTCCTGCAGCAGCTTCCACAAAGAAAAACATTCTTCAGTCTTTAAAATGAGATGACAGTAGCTGGTAGCAGCCTGTAGGACGTCTGAGAAGTTATTTACAGGTTGTGTTCAGATCCCAATGTGAGTTTTGGTGTTTGAATTAAAGTTATTTATTATTAAAAACTATTCTGATCTACAACGTCAGCACAGGTTATATACACAAAGCACTGTGGGTAACATGGGTATTTGTGTCAGTGCTATTTTAGTTTGATTTCTCTTATTTGGCTCAAATTCATTAATTCTAAGAAAACTTTTTGACTTGTTTGTCAACATATTTATTATGGAAATAGTATTTTACATATGACCATATTTTATATTTTATCCATTTACTTTCTTTTCATTTCAATCAGTTTATTTCAGTTGATTTTACAAAAAGCATCATTACATGTTGACCAGACTGCATGAAAATGATAGAAATTCAGTGCAACTTTACCATCTATATATTTGTGAAAAAATTGTCATAAATCATTATAGAACATTTTAACTTCTCTCCACTAAACAGCGAAGAACTGCGTTGTGCAGAAAACAGTCAATGACGTCTTAAAGACAACAACTGCCACTAATACTTGATTAGCTGTATTTTGTCCATCTTCGTGCATAAATGATTATGGAAAATTGCTTTTATAGCTGCAACAAAAAGTCTGAGTCATATGTCTGAGTCCTACGAGAGAGAGAGAGAGAGAGAGAGAGAGAGAGAGAGAGAGAGAGAGAGAGAGACAGAGAGAGAGAGAGAGAGAGAGAGAGAGAGAGAGAGAGAGAGAGAGAGAGAGAGAGAGAGAGAGAGAGAGAGAGAGAGAGAGAGAGAGAGAGAGAGAGAGAGAGAGCTAATCAAAACAAAGTGTTAGTCAATAATATAATGTTGACCAATCTGTGAAATAACAATGTTATGATTGATATGATTTAATAAGTAAATGACTTTAATCTAGTGCACTAGACACGCCGATACACGTAAACGCATGACGCATTGCGGTTGCTGATCCAATCAGAACCTTCCTTTCTGAAATGTGGCATAGTCTCTGTGGTGTTTATAAATCTGCCAGCTTTGATTCGACCAGAATTCAAAACATCCAGATTAATAAAACCAGTTCCAGCGTCATCTTAGTTCAGTTCTCAAGATCTCACTGGAGTTCACCGCATGCTAAGCGAAGTAACGGACCGGCCATCCGGACTTCCCTTTTTAAGCTGAGAACCAACAAGCTGGATAAAATCTGTTGCATTTTACCAACCAAGCAACGGTTCCTTTCAGAATAAAAGATGAACTCACTGGCCCAAGGAGGGTCCCTTTTGACGCTGTGAACCACCTGTCGCTTTTTACCTGGAGACAATCCAAAGACTAGTTTGTCGTACTGCTGACGCTGTTCCACCGGCTCCAGTACCGAAAGGAGGGTCCGAGGACCTGGCATTCTGGATCTGTGCGGGTGTCTCATCAAGGGTATGTGTGGAGCGGCAATATGGCGTCTCATGTGTTTATGAAACCGATCAAACTCTGATCATAGCTAGAAGCAAAACATCATTACATCATTCAGACTTGCTTCTCCGGATACGAGAGTTCTTTTTTTTTATAACTAAAGTTTTTATTATTTTCAAATTATTTCGGATACGAGAGTTCTGATAATAACACCACTCACACACACACACACACACACACCATTCATCTCACGTCACATTCACCAGATCCATCCATCATTAGTTAGTCTTGTTAAAATTGTTTAGTAATAAATCATCTTAAACATTTTAAAGGACTCTCTCTTCTCTTGTTTCTCAGTTAATACAAAGCGTTAGAAAATCCCTGCAATAAAAAGTTCTAATCTTCTGGTTAAATAACTCAGCGGTCCGTAAGATTGATTTCATATTCACTATGGAATCTTAATGTCTCACGGGACCTTATTGAGATGTAAATTAACTTCTTTTACATAATGGCGAGCCATTAACCAATATTTGCACATTCTTGACACTTTGTGCTAAGTCTGAGACATATTTAAACAGTGTAAAACACTTTAAAATTATAAATTTGATGTTTCTGGTTGAAAACGGGACTATCCCGTAATCCACCACTAGAGAGCAGCATCTTCATTTAAAGAAAAAGGGGTGTGACACCAGTCATCTTCCACAGGAGGCGCTGTTTCATCTCAAATCATCTTAAGGCTGACGTGTCATGGCAGCCATTTTGAATTCATATACACACTGATGTCTGGAAGGATATTTCCTGCTTTGTTTAAGGTGAATACTGTATTTTCTATGTCTTTTGAGTGATTCGTGACACTGTGTTGTAATAACTTAAGTACGGAGATACAGAAAAATATCCACCGAAGTCCACTTTCCCTGATTGCTGTTGATCTCCGGTTAATCAGCCCGTTGAGCTTACTAGCACTAGCTGCTAACAGTTAAGTTTTTAAAATGGAAGAGCGTCGTTGCAAACATGAAGTGCATATGCTATCAGTCCGAAATATAAACACGAGCGCACACGAACGTTTGAGTTACTCGGACTGGTCCAATTCCAACAGGATTGGACCTCCAGAGCCTGTTAGCGACAGGCTCCGCTAGCTTAGCACAACCAGTTGCTAACTAGTGGACCCGGTTTTAGACAGTCGGTAAACGCGTTCCGACAACCTGTCAAGCCGTTTGACGCAGCGTTTCTGCGTCTTTAAATCCGCTACGCCTACAACTTCCGACACCGTTTGAGTAGTTTTCATTGGCGCTCTGCCACCATCTAGCGAACATTTGTGTTCATCACATTCACATTGGTGAAAAGCCTCATTTCTGATTTTAAAACATGTCAGAAGAGGAACAATTGAGTCCTCCCTCAGTGGGTAGACAGATTATTGATGCTGTTGAATCTTGTGTAGGTCAGGACAGTCTGATTAATCATGGTTATGGTGAAGGTTTGCAGACCTGTTCAGCTACTGAGCTGATGAATAAGTTACAAACTCATAATGAAAAGCTGACCAGAGAAGGTAAGGTCAAGCCAGCTGCCAGCACAGAGAACCTGGTGGAGTTTGTGGGTTTGTTAGCTCATCTCTGGGACAGAGAAGTAACTGCCCATATTGAAACACAAAATAAAACGCGTACACTTTCTGAACAACAGCAAAGAGATGAAGCCTGTGGTTCTGATTCTGAGGAGAAGCTGATGGAAGCCCGGGAACAGCTGACAAGATTCAGCTGGAAGGTAAAATTACCATCTTGGAGAATGAGAAATGTGCTTTAAGGGTTGATGTCATTAACCTTCCATCTCGGGTATGCAATCGAGAAATTGAAATTGAGGATTTAAAATCACAGATTTCTGCACTCAGAGGAAAAAGGGAAAACCCCTTACTCCAACGGTCTCTTCCTCCTTCTGCACCTCCTCCACCTCCGGCTGTTGCTATGGTTGCTGCTCCACCGGCTGCTAGTGCTGCTAGTGGGGTTGCACCTGCTGCAGCTGGGGTGACCCCAGCACCTCAGTTACACCCAGCTTCTCAGCCAAGCCAGTTTGCTCCACCTCCAGTCCCTCATCCTGGCTACCTGGCTCCTCAGCAAGGCCACTTTTACCCACCTCCAGCTCATCTGTTCCCACCTCCAGCCCATACATATGTCACTTATGCTGTTACACGCCTTCTGGTTGCACAGCAACAATACCCTCCAGCTGCACTTGCTGGTGCTGCTGCAATGGGTGTGCCAGCTTCGCAGCCAGCCCAACCGAACGCACCTGTGCCCATATCTGACATCTACAGGATGTCTCGGAGCGTCAAGAAATTCAACCCTCAACCAGGTAATTTGTACCCAGTTGACACATATCTGAGTGACCTCTGACATCACTTTCAGCGATGTCCGGGAATGACCCTGGAGGACAAGATCTTTGTGATAAGGTTGACCTCCGATGCCGTGGGTTCGCTTATTGATTGCAAGCATAATTTAATCGCAAATGATTACGATAAACTGGAAGCTGCAATTCAGAAAGAGTACACTTATGGTGCTCAGGAGGCTGGCATACAGTTAGCTTTGTCAGTCAAACAGGGTCGTACTGAAGACCCACAAGCCTTCTATCTACGCCTCTTCAACGCGTACTTTGGTACGGAATGTAAGGACGGGATGGAAGAGGAAAAAGGTTTCAAGGGAATCTTCCTTGAGAATCTACATGCCCAGTATAGCCCATACATGGGTACGGTAGACTTTAAAACCACACCCATGGATGAGCTCAGAAGAATGGCGAGTTGTGCCTTTTCACGGTTTGGTAAATCCAGTAAGAGTTCGCACAGTCCATCAGTTCTGGCGGTGGAGGCAAAACCCTCCTCGCTGCGATTCGAGGGGACTGCATCAGGGACTCATAAAAATAAAAACCGAAACAATGGATCTAAACAACAGGCCCAGAAATCTAATAACAACTACAAGCCAGAAGGCTTTCCAAATAACAAGCCTCAAAATCCAAACAGACCTTGGACCCCTCCACCGGCTCGTGGAGGGGACCCTTAGTCACCACGACTTGGCCGCGGCAAACATCGTGTTTCTTTTCAAGAAAAA